CCCCCTGCCCAATACCCTCTCCCCCCTCAGGCCCCTTCCCTTCAGAGACGCCTCTCTTCCCCTCAGAGCCCCCTGTTCCTCCCAGAGCTTCCTCAGAGACTCCCTTCCCCGCAAAGCCCCCTATTCCCTGGGTAGACCACTTCACCTGGAGAGATTCCCCTCCAGGGTTCCTCTTTCCTCAGGGAAAATGCCTTAAGCTCCTCTGCTCTTGAGGACCAGCGGCCCTCCCTTTTCACCATCTGTTTGTTATGGAGATTGAGCCCAAGCCTGACCACAGCTCTGTTGTGCTGAGCACTGTATAAAGACCCAGGAAGATAACATAGGAATGGCCATACTGGGTCAGACCAACAGTCCGTCCAGCTGGTATCCTTTCTGCTAAAAGTGGCCAATGCCAGATGCCCCAGAGGGAGGGAACACAACAGGTGGTAATTGTGATCCCTCCCCTGTCTCCCATTTCCAGACAAACAGAGGCTAGGGACACCATTCACACCCATGCTGGCTAATAACCATTGATGGAATTAACATCCATGAATCTATCTAGCTCTTTTTTTTTAAACCCTGTTAAAGTCCTAGCGTTCACCACATCCTCTGAAGATGCAGCACCTGCTCTAGTGTCATTCTTACTACTACCTCCACCTAAGGCAGCATGGGTACCAAACAGTAAGCACTTGTGGGTGATTCTGCAGGGACCATTGCTGGGATACTTTTTCTCATCTGGAGAGAGATTGGCATGCATCCCCATTGCACAAGAGTCTCCATTTGTCCTGGCCTACAGGGGTGCTGGAGTGAGGGAATGCAGGGTAGAAATCACCCGCATGTCAAAAGCATCAATATCAGAATGTTAAATGCTCCTTATAGTCTTGTGGAGTTTTGCTCACAGCTTCTGCCCATGTGTCATGATTTGAGAGAATTCTTTAAATATGGTCCAGTCTATTTTAGAAAAGTTATGCCAGTGTAACACTGTTGGTTAGAAGTGTGACTTTTTGTAACTAATATTAGTGTACCAGTGTAAGTGTTGTGTAAGATAGTTAACCACTGCAAGTGTAGTACATGGAGGAGGAGGATATATACAGGGTAGGGCCATTACTAAATTATGAAGGAAAACAATTACAGAAAATATGGAAACGGCAGTGATTCTTAATGACCTTTTTGGGGGGGTTTCACCAGGAAGGTTGGACACCTAACATAGTGAATGATTGTGAAAATGGGATAGATTCAGAAGCTAAAATAGGAAAAGAACAAGTTAGAAATTACTTAGACAAGTTAGATGTCTTCAAGTCACCATGGCCTGATGAAATTAATCATAGACTGCTCAAGGAGCCGATAGAAGAGATCTGAGCCATTAGTTACTATCTTTGAAAAGTCATGGACTACAGGAGAGATATCAAAAGACAGGAAAAAGGCAAATATAGTGCCCATTTATAAAAGGGAAATAAGGACAACACAAGGAATTACAGACCAGACGTCTTAACTTTAGTACCAGGAAAGATAATGGATCAAATAATTAAGAAATCCATTTTCAAACATCTAGAAAATAATAAGGTGATAAGTAACAGCATGGATTTGTAAAAAGAATCACGTCAAACCAAGCTGATAGCTTTTTTTGACTGGATAATAGGTCCGGGGGATGGGGGGGAGCAGTAGTTGTGGTATATCTAGACTTTAGTAAGGCATTTGATACAGTTTTGCATGACCTCATTAAGGTAGGAAAATACAACCTAGCTGGAACTGCTATAAGGTGGATGCATAATTGGCTAGATAGCCTTTCCCAGAGAGTAGATATCAATGGTCCACAGTCGTGCTGGAAAGGCATAATGTGGGGTTCTGCAGGAATCTGTTTTGGGACTGATTCTGTTCAACATGTTCATCAATTATTTAGATAATGGCATAGTTTGTGGATGATACCAAGCTAGGAGGAGTTGTTTAGTCTGGAAAAGAGAAGACTGAGAAGACACATGATTACAGCTTTCAAGAACCTAAAAGGTTGTTACAGGGAGGAAGGAGAAAAAATATTCTCCTTAATCTCTGATGATAGGACAAGAAGCAATGGGCTTAAATTGCAAGGGAGATTTAGGTAAGACATCAAGAAAAACTTCCTAACAGTCAGGATGGTTAAAGACTGGAATAAATTGCTTAGGGAAGTTGTGGAATCCCCATCATTGGAGATGGGTTTATGCGGGGCTTAACATGTGGCCCATGGATGGGATCCTTTGAACATGGCCTCCACTGGGAACACGTTCCACAACGTCGAGTCTTCTTATAATGGTCTTCTTTTGATATAGTATAGTATAGATATAGCGTTTTAGTAGTTAAATTTCCTGGACTGTCATTGCTCATTAAAAGTGCTGTCATATGAGTGGAAATTGAGTAAATATTGCATTTTATTAATATCAGCAGAACGGATTTAAATGGGGCCTGCGTGTTTTGTAGTCTTGCCTTAATCTTTGTATTCATGCCTGTCAGTGTAAAAAGATATTTGTATATATTTGCATATATATGTAACCACGCTTAAGTTGCGGCCCTTGGTATGTGCTGTGTCACTGTGGCCCCCAGGGCTTCCAAAGTTGAGTAGCCCTGGTTTAGATTGTGCTTGGTCTTGCCATGAGTGCAGGGCACCAGAGTTGACCTCTCAAGGTTCCTTCCAGTTCTGTAATGTAAAAGTAACTCAAAGGTTTTCAAATAGTAGTAAAAACAAAAGCACAGCTTATATTTGTTGTGCGTTGTTTAAAAGGTCAGTTTGTTTTGTTTATTGCCTTATGATGAATTTGGGATGCAAAATGTACTGGTTACTAATAACAGGTTTGTTCTTTTGCAGCTACTTAAAGAGTGTGAAGATAATTGGTTAGACATTGAGTTTTATTAATACCATAATCAGTCACAGAACTAGAAAATTGTAGGGTTGTAAGCTGTGTTGGTCCCAAGATATCAGACACAAGGTGGGTCAGGTAATATCTTTTATTGGACCAACTTCTGTGGGTGAAGTAGACAAGCTTTCAAGCTACACAGAGCTCTCCTTCAGGAGAAGGAGAAGAGTTCTGTGTAGCTTGAAAAGTTGTCTCTCATCATCTGAGCTCTGTATAAAGGCTTATACAGAGCAAGCTCATATTGTTCACCCTCTTTCTCAGGGTAAAAAGAGAGATGCACAATTGCTTCCCTCAAGGTAACAGTTATTTACACTGAGTTTATTGATAAAAGTGATTTTATTGAGTATAAAAGGAAGGGGTTTAAGTGGTCATGAGAGGTAGCAGAAAGAACAATGTAGGTTACAAAACAAAACACGCAAACTAAGCTTTATATTCTAGGGCAAAATTTGGCTCATACAAAATACTGCAGACAAGTTCATGGCATCCAGTGTTTTAATTCTTGGTTCTGGTTTCTCACTTTCTTTGGCTGCCAGGCAACTTGTAACAATCCCTTTCTCTGATCAAGAAGCAGCATTGAGGACATACGAAGAGAGTCTAATCTAAATCAAAATAAGCTTGCTACAGTAGATGGGTGTGTATAAAAATTGAGATTCTTTTTGTAGAGGAAAATCTCACTTAAAAACATTTTCTGAGGTTGATTGTGTTTCTTGACTTCCCTTCTAATGTGAGGAAAGGCGGTATGTCTACTCTGACCTAGACAGAAGATGTAAAGCATACAAGGCTACATACAATGCACTGAAGGCTGCAAAAGCAGCCATGTCCCCAGTCTTAATGGGATAAAGTCCATTTCTCTGCAGCTTCACTCCATCCATCTCTATCATTGCCTTGGTTATGTTCAGTTCCTCCTCTTGCAGGGAGGAGATTATGTTGGCATCCAAACTGGAAGCTTCTTGCTTCAAGATGCTCTTGACCTGTGCAACAACGAAGAAGCAAAATTAAAATCAGGTTGTGACAGTAATAAGTGTCTGCCAAATATCACCCGTGAAATTCAACCAGAGTGATTGTAGTGGATGAATAAACTATTTCTGTTTTCCAGTTTGTACAGTGCTCTGAGATTGTTCAGGATGAAAGGTACTGTGTGTAAATGTGCATTACTATTCAAACTCATTAAGGTTATTTTGTGCTAAAATCATGATAAACACTTATTGATTTCCAAATTTTAGTGGATTAGTTGTTCCCTAAAAGTGGGTATTTTGCTTTTAAAGTAGGAGCATCACAGATAAATGCAACCCACAGCTACATTGTCCCAGTAACTGTTGGGTGAAGGTAAAACTGGGCAACAGCACGTTGAGGAAATGAGTTCAAATTACAAAGTAAATTCTATTTATCTCTCAAGGAGAATAAAAATTCCAGCAAATGGTAGAGTTGCTTCTGTTCAATTTTTAGACATCCTGTTGTAATGAGGTTTTCCATATACTTTATGAAAAATATGCTTATAAATGTAAATATGACATAACTGGAATACGCTTTATACGAAATACCCCAGGGTAAGGTATCATTGGAAAAGGTATAATCTACTGAATATGACTTTCTCATTTGTATGAATGTGACATCTTTGTCGATTAAGTTAGGAATATGGAGTATAAACCTGTTATTAATATAGTCATGCTAAGTGAGGGCCATTAATGGTACTTCAGGGTTATAATTGCCCATTAGCAAAGAGACATGCCTGGCTTTTCTGCAGACCATGTGGGTCAGCCCATGAAGTCTGGAGACAGGGGTCTAGCACATGTGACCATGTCACCTGATACTGGAATCCATGTTAAACCCTGTATTTTTCCATGAGTAACTGGGAGGGAGGTCAGACTAAAACAATGGATTTCCACCTTATGCAGATCCTGTTTAAGGGTGAGGAGTGAGATAATCTAGGTTGTCAGTTCTCCCTGGCTACCCCACCCAAGATGACTGCTAGAAACATCGAAGACTGAACTGGGGGAACCCACCCAAGATGACTGCTAGAAACATCTAAGACTGAACTGGGGGAAAGATTGGGCCCAGGTTGGAAGGTTTACCAGGCTGCGAAATAAACTTATTAAAACAACTTGGAGGGTGAGATATTCTGTGTAATGAGTCTCTTTAATGCATTAGGCTTAGCTTGTGTGTTGTTTTATTTTGTTTAATAAGCTACTTTGTTCTGTCTGCTCTCTTACAACCCCTTAAATCCTATCTTTTATACTGAATAAAATCACTTTTGTTTATTAGTAAACCCAGGGTAAATAATTGTTGCCTGGGGTGGACCAGCATCTGCATATTGCTCTTTAGTCCGAGAAAGAAGGCGAACAATATGTGTTTGTGCTGTATAAGACTTTAACAGAGTAAGATGGAATTATCTGGGGTTCAGGTCTCATGGAGGCTGTGCATTTGGGTGCTGAGGCAAATCCCTTTAGCTGAGCCTTCCCAGAGCTGAGCTGAGCTGATCTCAGTGTCTGCATTACACTGCATAGGGCTGTGACCCCATTTCTGTGCCAGTGCAGGAGGGGGCCAAAAGGCCTAGCTCAGCAGGACAGAGCCGAGGGGTGCTCAGGAGGGTGGGCGCTCTGATAAATCTGTACATTAAGTGACAGTCCCAAGGAGGTTCCAGAGACCAAACCAATCACATTTGTATCTGCAAGGGAGGTCCATCCATTGCTTCCTGGGTAGATGCCATGTGGCCCTCAGTGGCAGAAAATTTGGGCTGCAGTGTTTTGATGGCTCTCTCTGGAAGTGGGTAGTTATGATCCCAACTTCATTTGAAACCTGTAATAAGCCTTCCTCCTTGCATCATCTCAAGCTGTGATGTTGCTTTTTGTGCCCAGATCTAATCATAGCTTTGATTTAAAACCACAAAAGGGAAAACTTCAGTGAGAGACATGTGGTGCCATATTTCACTGGCATTCTCTCTCACCAGCTCAAGCTGTTTGGGTACAATCTTCTTCTCCACAGACTGTGCCAGCCGCAGTAACTGATCCTCAGTTAACTCTGAAAAAGAAGAAGAAATTTTGTAAGAAAGAAGTTTCTTTCTGGGAGGTCCATGGCAAGCGCAGAGGTTGGAGCATGAGGGGTTCTCAAAAATCAAAAAGGGGGCGTGATGCCAAAAAGTTTGGGAACCACTGGGTTAGAGCATAACCCTTAGGTATCTGCACTCCCTTTGGATGATCCTAAAACACTTTAATAAATTGACTAAATTAAGTTTTACTATCTTGTTAGGGGGTGAGTGGTTGAAATCTTTTTATTTCCATTACACAGATGTGCCAACTGAGGCATGGACAAGGGAGGAAGTGGCTTTTCCAAAGTCACAGAACAAGCTGTGGCAAAACTGAAAAGAACCCACGATTTCTGATTCCCCCACTCCTGTTACTTAACTACCCTTGCTCAGGTTCTTGCTGAGGTTTCGGGTCCTGGGTGTGCTATATTCTGGGGTCCCCAATACAGTATTTCCAAAGAGGTGCCTTAAGATGATTCTGCTAGGATGCTATACCAGGATGCAAACTCCATCACAAGGCTACGTCTGGAAAATGGTACACTGTGTTAGCTGGCAACAGCTGCCAAAAGCAGGCCCAAGTATCCAAGGAATGTCTGAACCATGTGAGGTCATGTTCATCATTCATTCTGTTCTTCGCAGGTAGATGCATTTCACATAGTCTTACCTTCAAGTGCGTGAAGAGTGTAGAGAACTGGATCAACAAGGAAAAGGTTTATGCTTCCTGCAGAATCCTGTAAGTTGTTTAGCAAATCTTCCAAGTCTGGATTGTCACTCTTCAGCTCACATTTGTCAGCATCTTCAAAAGCCTCTTCTAGCTGAGGGTTAAGGGGGGAAAAAAGCTTCAGGGCTGAGGATTACAGGCCACTGAGAGAAACTAGTTCAGCGTGGCCATGTGAGGTACTGAAATATGCATCTGATTATGCAGGGAGGAATGGGATGTTGGGGACCATATTTTTTCCTAACCTCTGCTATCTAATATAGCACAAATCGGGATTAGGGGGATTGAATATTCACTTTTACTGCTGTAAGATACAGGATACTAGAAGAAATGGTTCATTGGCCCTGTGGGAATTTTTGTGCTCTTTTGAAAAATGATACTTACAGAAATTTCATGGAAGAGACCTACTGAGTCATTCTGTTCATTTTCTTTCCAGAGCCAAGGCGGGGCTGGTGCACTTAGTTTATCACATTTTATGGTGAAGGGGGCCAGGTCAGAAGGTGCTGGACTGAGAGATGGTCACAGGGTAGATAGCACACCAAGAAGGATGGGAGTGTGCATTTCTAAACCATAATGACGGAAAATAGGTGCTTTACCTTGAATTTGAGTTCTTGCAAGAGGTCGCTATCTATTATCACAGCTATGATTGATTTTAAGAATTTGGCACGCAGATCTGTGGACAACTGCGAGAGCTCTGCACATTTATTTTCAACTTCTGTCTTCAGGTCATCTATTCCTCCATCTGAAAACACCAGTGGAGAGTCAGAATGCAGGAATCCTTAGCTGTCTTTGTTCAAAAGGGTCATGTAGGACTCAACATTTAGATTTGGAACATTTAGATTTGGAAAGGCTTTTGTGAATATTCAGAGACTCGTATCTCAGGTAATTAGTAATACTTTGTTCTCAGTTACTGCCTCCTATCCAAGGATCTTGACACATTTTCTTAAGTATTTTTCCATGTGACAGAAATAACTTGTCCAAAGTCACATTATAAGTTAATAACAGAACCCAGAATAGAATACAAGTAATTTCATTTTAATTCCTTCATTAAAAAAAAATTAGTCTGCTAAAATATTTCCGAGTCATAGTTTAAGGATAGTTGATATGAAATGCACAGCAGCATAAACTATTACTTTGTTGAGGAATTTTGTATGATGTTTGTCAGGTTTATACCACTTTACACATACGAGTCCAGTAAACGATGAAATGGTTACGTAATCATATAAAATCTTTGTTTGCAGATATTCTGACACTGCTTTCTGGTAAGTGAGAAATATTTGAATCACATGAAAGTCAACAAATTGTCATTGGCTTACATAAAAAACTGTGTGTCAATTTTGATTTTCATGCTGTGGCATTTGGTGAAATTTCAAATCCTGCATATGAGATTTTTGTATGAGAGATAACAAGGGTTTCTTTGTTATGACATACTCTGCAGTTCGAAAAGGCTGGGAAACCTATTTCTGTCTACATAAATTCCCTGAGCAATAAGATCAGAACACCCTGAAACGGTTTGTCTACATTGAATCCTGATGTTAGATGAAGATGTTATGAAGAGCTGCCTACCATAGGAATAATCATATTCCTCTGTTGCACCTGAAATGCAAAAGAAGAGAGGTGAAGAAAAAGTAATACATAAAAACTGAGCCCTCATAATTATGAATTGTTGTCCCCACTAACATGTATGCCTCTTTACTCCATAAAAAGGACTCTGTCAGAATAAAGGGTTTGAGGAAAGCCATTATTCTTGTTACTAAATTTAAGTGGTCATTGAACTAACTAAACTTTTAAAAAGTTTAAAAATAGATTAAACGGGTGCATAGCCCTGCAGTGGTTTAAAATGGGCCGTATCAATGTAGTTTATGCCTGTGGACATATTGGTGCAAGGTAAATGGCTCTAAGCCAGGAATGAATTGACAGGAGTATCCATACATAAAGTCGCACTGTTTTATCTCAAATTATTTTAAAAATCCCACTTTAGTGAGAGAACACAAATGAAGAGAGTAAATATTCTGTTTACCGTCTGCAACAAATGTTTTACCACCTGGATGATAGGACAGGTCTGGAAAGAAACAAAAAGGGAAATGACCATTTATAACCTTTGAAGAGTTATTTGATGCTTCAGGATGTCATAGTTAAGCCTGAAAATATCACTACCCCACTTCCAAACATCTGGAATGTGCAAGCTCCATTTTGGAAAGTTCATTGCTGGTGTATTGAACTTTCCCCCATAATGGATGAGCTGAAGTTTTCTGGGTGATGCTTACCCCATGATTCATCTGCAATAATAAGCGGCAAGATTCTGTAGGCCAGGACACAGTCCTTAGGGATAATTATGGCTCTTTTGCTGCCTCTAGTGCCCTGGTTCATGAAAAAGGAGTTAGCAAGGTCTCTCAGCACAGCGATTGCTAAAAGGACGGGACTGTCCTTCCCCTCCTCCCCATTTCCGGAATCTAGATCTAAATCAAACCTTTAATGAAAAATGGACATAGATCTCATTCAGAATGCTGCCTTCCGTGGTATTGGACTTGAAAAATGTGGTCTCCTCTAAAGCCTGTACAGCCTCGTAGATCACGTACAAGTTCTCTCTGCTCTCCCTTAGCTGTTTAATGAAGGAAGAGTTCATGTTGATTTTCCTTAAAAAAAAAAAAAAGGCGCCTGCATCACTTTTTTTTCTGTAGGATAGCATACGGTCTTGACACTGGCTTCCCTTATTCTTGGATTTGCCACTCAGGGGGAAGAAAGCAAGAGGAAAGCCGGCTTATTGATCCATCAGGGAATTCCCCTGATCTAAGCAGAATGCCTGAGTTGCACAGAGCCTTGGAAGCCTCTATTCCATGGGTGGGGAACCTTTTTTGGGTGGGGGCTGCTGACCTACAGAAAAATTAGTTGGGGGTTGCACGCAAATGAGAACCAACCAACAAACCCCAACAAGCCCTCACTGAGGTCTGAAGATCAAAGCGCCTGGATTTGAGACTAACTCTGGGCAGGTAGAGGGGTTGTCTGGACACAGTGTGTGTGTGTGTGTGTGTGTGTGTGGGGGGGGGGTGTCAGGATTTCTGAGCTCTGCTCCCACCTGGAAGGGCTAGTGGGGAGACAGGGAGGCTGGATGTGTCTCTGCTTTGGGGCAGAGTGTGTGGCGAGAGCAGTGGGAAAGAGGGAGCCAGCAGTCTTGGGAATTTCTTCCTGGCTTGGGGAGGGGGTATGGGTGCAGTGCAAGGCTGAGGAACCTTTTTGGGGTCAGGGGCTGCCAATCACAGAAAAATGAGTCATGGGCTGTGCACAAGTGAGAAACAAAATAAAATAAAATACCCCAAAACAGAACCCCTTGACCAGGGCCGACATCCATTAGACACAGTGCCTATGGCCCGCGACAGTTTTAGGGGCCCACAAAAATGTTTAAATTTCTTTTAAAATCTGAAGAAAAAAAATGAAACTTTTAGGATCAAAGAGAAATGTTTTAATTTTTTTCTCACATCAGAAAAAAAATGAAACTTTTAGGGCCCACGAAAATCTGTTAAATTTTGCCTAAAACAGAAAAAAATTGAAGTATTTAAAGTTTATCAAAAATAATTTTTCATATTTATATTATTATGGTGGGAGGGGCCCACAAAAGTCATAATGCGGCCCTGCCCCTGACTGAGAAGGAAAAAGACACTCTCCACATTCCCCTTGCACATCAGAGACTCGGGGGGGCTAGGCTAGTAGATATTGTGTGCTACAGCCCCACCGTTGGGTGGCAGGAGGGCTGGAGCACCAGCGTGGGCTCCCCAATGCTGGGGAGGGGGGTGCCCTGGGTCTTGGGGGCCATATCTAGGCCTAAGATTCACCACCCTGTCTCTCTTCACAGTCCTGGTGAGAGGTGCGGCTGTGTCACAGATACAGTCTGTCTTCTGCACAAGTGAAAGCAGTTCTCCCTCCCGCCATTTCTGCCAGCCTTACCTTTCTTTCTTTAGTAACTCAAGGTTTGCTGGGCTGACATGAACTTTTTTCATCTTGATGGACTTCACTTGATAGGTGCTGGCCGCTCCCATCGCTTCCATTCTCCCAAAGTCAACAGGCACCTTAACACTGCCCTTTAATGTACCGTCCACACAGTCCACAACAGTGATTGGGCCTGAATCCTGAACATCTGTGGGAGGAGGGGAGTTAACATGTTTGCTTTGTACCGCTGATATGTAATTATTGCCCATAGCTACTGTGCACATAGGAAAGATGTGACCTGACAGCATTCAGACACAAGCAGCCTAATTCCCTAGCCAGTCACTGGAAGACATCAGTCTCTCAAGACCAGGATGCTCCAGGAGTGTTGCCACACTGGACTGGCAGATAACATGGGAAGATAATTAAAGCCCGGCATTACCTAGATGTGTGCTGTCCTCTCCAGGTACCAGAATGTCCCAGAGCCTAAATCCTGTTTTGGCGTAGTGGAGAGTCCTGCAGAATGCTTTTTTTGGTTTCCTTCGAACTAGGCATAGGGGTCGGAAGTGATCTTGATCAATAAGATTGCAAACCGGGAGCAGATCTCCATCTGGAACCAGCTGCTTTACCAGCTGTTTGGTTACCTTGTAGAACATCCTGGCTGCAGCCTGATGGACCTTGAGCTGAAGCAAAATGTACTTTTACCTTCGGAGGCAAAGACAAGTGAAGCACACAGCAGTTTTACCTGCTCAGAGCTCTTAAAAAGAAAATCACCCAAGGCCACCTCTACATTACAAAATTACATTGACCATGCCTACACTGGCATACAGCCACAGCAGTGAGTGAATGCTGGGGTTCTTGTGTCAGCAGCGTATGTCCTCAATAGGGGCGCTTGTGCAGACTATTGGCAGGGTGGAGCATTGTGTGATGGCTCCTGGAAACCAGTAAGAGTTGATGTCAGTAACATAGTGTCTACATCAGGGGCAGTCAAGCTACGACCTCTGGGACCTTCAGGCACAGAGCAGCCCCACGCTGCTTTAAGTGGTTGGCTGCTCCCTGTGGCTCTCTGCTCACACTGCCCTCCCCTCTCCTCCCAGCAAAATCTCTCAACTCCTATTGTCTGGAAGCCGAAGTTTCTTGCTGCAAAGAGCTTATGAGCTAAGGAGGGCAATAACAAATAATTCACTTTTATGCAAAAAAACTTAAAAAACAGAGAATAGTCCTGCGGCACCGTAGAGACTAACCAAAAATGTAGATGGTATTGTGAGCTTTCATGGGCACAACTCACTTCTTCAGATGAATGGAGTAAGGGGTCCAGGATACAAATAAATAGCGAAAGAGAGGGGATGGGGAGGGAAAGAAAAGAGACAGAACTGACATTTCAAATCACATGCATTGGATTTTAATATAGGTTGCACCTTTGAAAATCTGTACTTTCTGGTCTGGCAAAGTTTAAGAGGGAGAGCAAGAGATCCTGCCACTGAACAGGTTACCAGGTGAGAGTACTAGCTTGTGGTATGTGTGGGTTTGCTTGATTTTTGAATTTTGATTCTGATTTCAGGTGATTTCAGTTTCAGTTCCTGTGGCAGTTGGGACTGAGTATCTGGCAGTGTTTGATCCTTTGTTCCATTGATTGCCTTTGATCAGCCTTCCCCTGTGTGACTAACGAGCGGGTAGGTCTGACGTAGGCAAGCAGGCTTTAAAAGCCAGAAGCAGAGCGACCAGGGCAGCGAAGCGGACAGAAGAGTTTAAGAGGGAGAGCAAGAGATCCCGCCGCTGAACAGGTTACCAGGTGAGAGTACTAGCTTTTGGTGTGAGTGAGTTTGCTTGATTTTTTGAATTTTGGCCCCAGGCTACATGTGGCATTTCAAAGTGGCAGCGCCGCATGGAGCCCGGTATCTGGTCCCAGGCTCCACGCGGTGCTACTGTGTTGAAACACCCCCTCTTCTACCCCTCACCACCTCTGTCTGCTTTGATTGGATGCTGCGGGAGCACACTGCTCTCTCAGCCAATGTTGTGTGCAATCAGCCTGCGTCTCACTTCATGTGGTCCTGCTTTATGCGCTTGTGACTTTGGTAATACCAGTAGGAAGAAACCAACGTGGACCAAAACCAGTGGAATCTAACAACTATTCTCATGGGCAACAGTAAACAAAATGTCTCATGGGTTGCACATAGAACACCAATAGGCCGCTTGCTGCCCTAGGTCCACAGGTTACCCAGCACGGCTGTAGACCCAGGCCAGAGTTAAGATCAATTATGTCTTGAAGCTTTTTACCTATGATCAGAACAGTTGTTTAGGGTAAGAATGTGCATGTAACAAGTTTCTTAGTGGGTTAGAACTAGCTAACCCTTTTTTGGTCATTTTAATTTAGTAACTTACTGTTTTTACTTGCAATCACTTGAATCCTACTTTTTATACTTAATAAAAACACTTTTGTTTATGTGAAGGAGAGGGATACTACCCTTTTCTAGACATCCCAGCATTCATTAACTAAAGGGTTAAAACCAGAACAATGGGTATCCAGGAAGTGTTGGCAGGGAGCCAGGAGAGCCAATAGGAAAAGTTTTAAATGAAACAAGATTTTGCCTGTTCTCCATTTCCTGTGTGTGAGTCAGAACAGGAACTGGCAGAGAAATGGACTAAGCAAGAATAAGGCCTGGATTTCCTAGAAATACCCATGTCTGAGACAAGAAACGTAAACTTTGGAACAACAGAAAATGTAAGTGAAACAAAGGAATGTTTATACTTAAGATGTAATCGGGTTATTTTCTTTGTTTTTTAGTTTGGTTAAACTCCTTTTTGCTAAAAAAAAACCCCTGTACTCTTGTAACTGAATTGAATTCAAAGGAAGCAATTCTCTGCGCTTTAATTTTTTTTCTTGTTAGTCTGTAACACACAGCAATCAAGCAAACATGCTTTACCAAGTATGTCGTCTTTGTTTTGTTAATAAAATTACCTTTTTTAAGACTATGATCTTATCCCTGTGTCCTAAAAAGCAGGAGGTTCTGTGTGCACGTATCTGAGACTGAAGGTCCGCTACTAAGAAATTACAGTTGGTTGTCAAGCTCTCTCCTAAGGGAAGGGTGGTGAGGAGCCCCAAGGCAGGCAGGTGTTTGTGGCATGATCAGCACACCAGGGACAACCCCAAAGGGACCTCTCGATTACATACCCCGTCAGACAATATCCCTTTTCCTGTCTGTCTCATCTCTTCTGTCCCCACTTTCCTCTGTACTTTGATCTTCTCTGAATGTTTTGTGGCAACTCCTGGTGCCACAAAAGAAAGCAATAGGATAATGACTGATAAAACTAAACTTTGCCCAGACAGAAGAAAGTTACATGCTTTTTCTCTGTGCCCAGTTTTCCTTCCACGGTTAGTAGTATTCCCCCATGGAGAAGTTCCTCACTTCGGGTTAATACTCCACTCTTCCTGCGGGGGAAATCAGTTTTCTTCAAGTATTTTACATAACTTGCCTTACTCATAGCTCAGAAGTGGCTGTTCTTTTTAAAATCAAACTCTCCAGTAGCCGGGATTTGTTTAGAAGCAGAACGGCACTGATTAGAAACCATAACAGGAAATAGGGAGGGGGAGGAGGAAGGGAAGTGTATTTTTTGTTTTTTTGGGTTCCCTTGGGAAAAGAAATAGTCCTCTGCCTTATCCTGCATTATTATTACAGAAACTTGATTAAACACTTACCCCACTCTCTGAAGGCTGCAAGAAAGGAGGGTCTCAAAAGTAACTTAACAGGCAGCCTGTATCCCTGCCCCTCTTCCTGAAAAATTTGCTCCTCCAGCAACACCGTGTGTCTTGTCCTTAAATAATGTCTCGTCTTAGGAACAAATTTGGCAAAGCTGTTTGTAAGTCCTCTGCTCCGCTGTGCCTCTTCTCGGCATGGCCTCTTCTAGTTTAATTTTCCAGCGGTCGATGTCATAAAAACACCCAGATGCCTCTGTATTCCCTCTGACGTTGCAGGAAATGCTTGCCAGGCCAACCAGGCTTCCAAAGAGTGTGTTTTGCTTTCAGTTTTGCCTCTAAATAGCTGGTTCTCGTTAACCTGTTTGTTTTCCATCTCTCTATTTTGTTAAACTTTCCGTACGTGCAGTCAACTCCTGCTTGGCACTGCTTGTCCTGTGCCTCCTCCAGCATTCCACAATGCCACTTTTAGGGTGCCAACTACAGGCCTCGGCAGCCTGCTTGGTATCGAGCCCCGTGGGAGAGGCAAACGTGAGGAAGTGGAGTTGTGGATCGCATGTTTTAAACCTCATCAGTCGCATATACAAAATTGCATGGACGCTTTATTCTTTTGGAGGGCATCATATAAGATCCCAGACAGACCAACTCATCCGCTCTGCAGACTCGGGCTCTTTAAGGCCATGGCTATTCTAGGAAAGTATTTCAAAAGTACTAAATCTGACTTAACTCCCAATTTAACAAATTTGAACTAGCATGACCACACCACGAGAAAGCCTCAAAATTAATCGGAGGCAGATTCCAAATGTGAACGCGCTACTTTGGAGTTAGAGCCCCAGGAAGCACTGGGGAGTAATTATTTCAAAATAGCGGCACTGGAGCGACACTACCATTATTTCAAAATAACTCTTTCGGAAGTAGCATTACTCCTGATGAAAAGGAGGAGTACGGATTTCAAATTCCACAGCCTGTTATTTCGAAATAACGGGCAGTGTGAAGGTCATATTCTGAATAGAACTTTGCATCTTGAATCCCCTGCTAACAACTTCCCCCACTGCACCTTTTCCATCCTCTATCACAAAGCCGCTATATTGACAGTTTACCAGAACCAACTTCTTGGGTTTTGTGCCTTTCAGTTTCGCTTGTTCTAGACGAGGGGTCTCAAACTCAATTCACATTAGGGCCAGAGCCAGTCGAAGGTCATATTCTGAATAGAACTTTGCATCTTGAATCCCCTGCTAACAACTTCCCCCACTGCACCTTTTCCATCCTCTATCACAAAGCCGCTATATTGACAGTTTACCAGAACCAACTTCTTGGGTTTTGTGCCTTTCAGTTTCGCTTGTTCTAGACGAGGGGTCTCAAACTCAATTCACATTAGGGCCAGAGCCAGTCCTCAAATCCTCCTAGCAAGCTAGTGGGCTCCTCTGGCAGAGGGTCTCCATGCATTTCCCCCCCCCCCCCCCCCCCCCC